GGATGCACAGACTGCCAGGGATCACATCCTTTCTCCCTTCTCTTGGGAGAATTATTCATAGCAGCTACTGACCAAGTTAATGGCTTTCTAAATGGGATCCGAGTATGTTGCAGTTTTGTTCTTAATTTCAAGACTACTGACGTATTCACAAACACATCCACATTAACCTCCTGGACAGTTTTTAAAGTATTTTTTCACTTAGCTGTTCATTTGCCAAGGACTTGCAAATGTCTTGCTCACCTAAAGCTTTCTATTTACTAAAAAGCAGTTCTCACTCATGAAACATTAAAACAAACCCTAATAGCAAGGGCCAAGTGAAGTGACACACATTGCCTTATTCCTCTCAGTACCTGCTGCACAAAAGCAAGCAGAACCAGTTTTTCCATCTTTAACTACTGCAGCACCAAAGACAGACGTTACAGATTTGATTTCCATTCCATCTTTCGTTTCACACAAATAACAACAGTGCTTCTGAAATTACTTTAGCAATTTCCATGACAAGAATGATTGCTGACCATAATTACCCATTAGCAGATATTAAAAAGGAATCAGGAATCTATAAACATCCAGCAGAATAATTGAAGGAGATTAGTAGATGAGTTATGAATCTCAGGCAAAAATAATCTCCAGTCTAGTGGACTCCTCAACTAATTCAGTCTAGGAAATGGACAAATGAACGTTAGCAATCCAGATGTACACCACAGGAAATACCATTCATGTCAAAGACAACACTTCTTCCTTTTACACTCTGCTTTCAAATGCTAGCCTGCAGTCACCTTAGCTTTTGCTACTCATACAAAAATATTAAATGGAGAACGGATGCGGTTTTAATCATCTACCTGCTAGCAGTGGTAAATACTACTTGCACAAGTAAGTTTCTTTACAAAGATAAACCTTTTTCTTAATATATTTTTGAAGGTTTTCATGTGAAATTTCACCTTCCTTAATTACATTTAATTTCTGAAGAACTCCTTCTGCAATACAGAAAAATCTTACTTATATTTCCCTTCTATTTTCTTTTAACAAGTGAGCATACCCACTTCAACACATCATCACTCAAAACTGTATTTACATTAAAAAGTCAAATCAATACAAAAAGAAGTCTGTCATTAGGAAAAAAATCAGGAGGCAGAAGTAATCCCACCACGTGTCAGAAGAATCAGGGTAAAATAAGACACTACCTCACCTAGAGCGTACCTTTGGACACTGAGAGTCACAGCAATGACAGTGCTAGATATACTGCATTGAAAATGAACTTTTAAAATTCATATTATTATTTTAGTAGATTGCTTCTTCTTGGAACATATGCTCCACAATAGCCTTTAAAATAGGAATAACAAGGTGTGCAATTTGTAAACAGTTTTTCAGTCACTAGTAGAAATGGAAGATGTGACATAACAGAGGCTGTGGTTTCAGAAACACCTGAGCCCAACAGCTGGCTCAGACCACCCAAAGGAAAAGGTCTCACCCACTGGGACACCGTGTCCTGTGCCAGCTGCGTGGCCTGCCTGCCCAGGCACCCAGCTCCAGCACCCATCCAGCTCCCTTCCGAGCCTATTCACCAAATACAACAACAGAAAGCTATTTTTGGCAGGCTGCTTCTCTGGCAGGATGGTGCAGAGTGACAGCTAGCACAGGTAGCAGCGAGTTGTTAAATTGCCTCATCATTTCCCATGAGTCCACAGCCTAAGAAAAAGAATACCAAGATATCACTTCCAGGGTTGGGGGGTTTGTTGCTCATTTTTAAATACCACTATTATTACAGCATGTGCTTTGAGGAAAGGTATTACAGTCACAGAAAGAAATCTCTATGCTACTGATGCAGGTAGGACAGAGAAACGGTGACAGGAGATGGCTCAGGAAACTGAAGATTTTTTTAAAGACTAGTTCACAAATTAAGATAGTAAAAAAGAAGAAGAATCCATATAACCATTACATGAGAGGGTTTACCACTGTTCTGAAGTAGTTTATCATGCAAACACATGATGGTTCAACCATCAAATCCATTAAGCTTTGTAATTAACTGCTGGGTCTGGCTCAGCAGGGAAAAAAGAAAAGAAAAAAAAAGTCCTTTTATAATACTGGTTTTCATAAGCAGCAAACTCCAGGGTGTAAAAAGATGTATCACACCAGAAGAGAACTGAGCTGTATTTTGCATCTGTCAAAGTCCAAGTTGTGTGATTATTTCATGATTCTCAGACTCCCTGTCACATCTTCCAGATAGATTTTCTGACTTTAGCTGATTCAAAATTGAACTGACCACTACAAAAGTCAATATTCCACTAACACTAAGTTCTCAGTGACCTATTTAAAATTCATGTATTTGAACACAGCAGCCTCAGAAGTCAAGATAGCTTCTCATTATGTAATTTCAGTTTAATTATATCAAAAGCAGAATGCTTGTGCAGTTGCTTATAGTAATAAAACCTCAAGTATTAAGCTATATAAACTGCAGGGAAAAAATATGAAACACAATATTTAACTTAAACACTATGGAGAAAAATAGAGCTTTCAACTGAGATAGGAATAGGGATGGAGTGTGTGTAAGCCTCAATTTCTACTAAACACCCCTGATTTTTACAGAAATTAAATTCCCTGATATTTTCAGGAGATTTTTTTTTTAAGGAAAAAATATATTACACACAGTAATACTCAGCCTATATTGACATTAGTGATAAGAAAAAAAAAATCACTTCAAGAAAGATATGTTTAAACTGTCAACAGTTATATTCAGACACTGTAATTTTGAACACAGAATTATAAGTATACAGCAAACAAAAGGTTTCAGATTGCCAAACTTCCTAAGCTCTATATAATTACTTAATTACATCTAGAATTAAATCCCTCTCATCTGTATAACAAGATTTCAAATATGTCTCAACTTTTCTAGCTGACTAAAGCCATCGAGAAGCACAGACTGCTGACGTGAGATAGTCAGAATAAGAAGGACATAACTTGGCCCTTCTCACTATGGCTGGATATGCCAACAGATGTTCAAAAAGGAAAAAAAAAACAACAACAAATCACAAAACCAATTATAAAAAAAATAAATCACTGTGAACAGGAGTGTAATGGGCATCATATATTACTCTTATTTTTCCCTGTCTCGCTTAGTTATTTAGGGGGAGTGTTACAGTTCAACATAGAAATGCATCCTTCCCACCTCTAGGGTAAATAGTGTATTTGCACAGAACAGGTGCAATCATAATATGGCAAGGGATAAGGGTCACGCTATGGGCGGGAAGAAGATAAAACCTGTCCTGAGCAAGATAAGAAATCACTTGCTATTTAGGTTCAGTCCAACTAAAACCAGTAAAACAGAGAAAGAAGCTCAAAGATAAAAACCTCTCTCTCCTACCTACAAGACTTCCATGCTACTGAGGTGAGTAGAAATACATACAGGCAGCTTAAGCTCAACTAATGTACTGATACAAACAACAACTTTGGTTTCTTCAGCTTCTTTTTTCCCCCCGCAGGCTTTAATTTTTCGGAGGAAATAACACTGACATATACACTGAAAACATGCCACCCATCAGCCCTATATTCCTACTGTACTCTGTCATCAGTACAGATTTCTATTACAGAACCAAGGGTTTTTTTCAAAGCAATTTTGCCGAACATCACAACCAAAATGCAAGAGTAAACTACAATGTAAGAACAACATCACTTGTGTCTGCTGCCAAAGGCCAAAATGGCTGCTTCTATCTGAATTTCTGCTTATTCAACAATACCTTCTGTATCCTTCTTTGGATTCACATCTCTCCTGTAGCGATCAGACGCACTGGCAATCTCACTTTGGAAATAAACCTCAGCCCAATGCCAAGAGATGGACAGTGGAAAAAACCACAATTGTGTATCAGTACCTGGAGCAGTGTACTGCAGGGTGATATTACACTACAAATACTTATGTTAAGATATAAAATACCCTTTAAGTTTCAGAAAGAAAAGCCTTCATACTATTTATGAAACAAGAGGGAAGGAGAGGAAATACATTAAATCTAATGCCCCTTTCATTTAACAACTAGTTATTCAAGAGTAAGTCCTATCAAGTACATGTTTTAAAAAAAAAAATCTTATTTCTAGATAACTTTTATTACAGGAGAATTTTAATGTTCCCCAAACTTCTTCACATGTCAACCATGCAACATTTGTTACACCACCACATCCGTACTTCACAGCCAAAAAACCTAAAACTAACACTTGCAATGAGGAAGTTCCCTCCCTCGGAGGTTAAATATTAAAAACAACACCACCAAGACATACCTATGCTTCTAATGCAGGCATTGGTTCTGCAGCCATGCCCTACCTACAGCCAAAAAACCTAAAACTAACACTTGCAATGAGGAAGTTCCCTCCCTCGGAGGTTAAATATTAAAAACAACACCACCAAGACATACCTATGCTTCTAATGCAGGCATTGCTTCTGCAGCCATGCCCTACCTCAGGTATGATCCTTCACATTAAACCTTTTGATGTATCATGGACACCAATCTGCAACAAGACAAGGAATCTTTACTCCAAGGACCACTGTAACCATTAACAATGCTTCTGTTTCTTCCCCTTGTCATTCAAGGAAATAAAAACTACTCAATCTCTGTCTCCGCAGCTTTATCCTTTGGATTTGCTGATACTAAGACCAGTTAACTAGTATTAAAACAGAACTACTTAATACCAAAAGCCTGAAGTAATATGACAGTCACAGCAAAACATCAGGATATGGCAAAAGTCACTTTTCTAAAAAGCTGTGCAATTACTGCCTCAGAGGAACACGAAGTCCACAGAAGAACTTTCCAAAATAGCAAAGTATGCAGCCATGACCCTAGTGAAGGTTATCGCTGATCAGTATCTAAGCATTCCCCAGGGCTGCGTGCAGCCATCAAGAAAGCACTTTTTACCTGGACTGTAATGCTGAGCTGTGCATAACAGATTACTCTGGGGTTCTATGGTCCTACACCTTACTGAGACTACTGATAAAAACCACATGCTTATGGTTTGCTTACCATTAAAGGCCACAGGATTCATCAGCAAAAGTTTTATCTCTCCACTCCACTGTGGTCTGTTCGATCATTTTGAAATTCCTGCAGTAGAGCAAGTACAGTGCACACAGGTATGATCCTTCACATTAAACCTTTTGATGTATCATGGACACCAACCTGCAACAAGACAGGGAATCTTTACTCCAAGGACCACTGTAACCATTAACAACACTTCTGTTTCTTCCCCTTGTAGTTCAAGGAAGAAAAAAGTACTCAATCTCTGTCTCTGCATATTATAAACATTTTACCCAGACAATCAATAGAACTAAAAGTACTTAACTATGCTGTGGCAAGCTGCAGCATGAATGTAACTTGATTGAAATACTTAATTATAGAAATGACTGAAAAGAAGGCTGAAGACTAATGAGAGGTGCCATCTTCAAGCTAACTGATCCTAATGCTTTTCAAGCAAGGCCTGTGTGACAGCAAAGGATATTCTGCTAAAGATAGGAGAAGAACATTTTACTAACTTTTACAGCATTCTTGATGATGAAAGCCCTAATTTTTTCAGAAGTGTTATTACACACAAGATCAAATATCAGCTATTAAAAAACCACTCCAAGAAGAAAAAAATTAATAAAATAATGTATAATTCAAGACAGCATAAAATATTGCTTAGGATTTTGGATCACAGATCACTGAATATGATACTATGACAGGAAAACCAGCTAAAAAACCCTCAAATGCTCCTTCCCTGCACCTTGCTGCTCTAGATAAAGATTTATCTACTGCTAGGGTGGAAATTAAGAGATTCAGCCCACAAAGTTTGCTTGTCTTGGAGCACGAGAAGGTCAGAAAGGCACATTCCTAGAATGTCATGAACAGAAAATTGTATCTCCAGGTAGGCAGATGATCAGAAGACGCAGTCAGGCTATCATCCTCAAACTTAGTGCACCAGCTCTCTAGGGGAATCCATATCACACATAACAGCTCTTGGCTTTGTCTTCCTCTCGTCCTGCCTTATCATCTGTACATGCATTATGGGAACAACTGTTTAGATGTGACAAGATGCCAAAGAAGTTCAACACCTCAGCAAAGTTCCAGGCACCGGTAGGAGGCATGGTTGCTCATGATTCATTGTTGGAATCCAGTACAATCCCCTCACCAGGGACAGGACTCAAGAAAGGGAGTAAATGGTTATACGGCAGTGTTGAAACAATGACCCAGAGTAAAAGAGGCCCAGAGCAGGAAATTGAAATTAAGATGTCAGTGGGAAACCTGATACAAGTTAAATAGCTGTGCTGGGAAGGGAACATATCAACACCTACTTTGTTGTTCACCCACAAGCTCTGTCACGAAGAGACCCACTTTGGGAACTGAAAGGCAAGCTAAACTGCCAAATAATCCAGCACAGAATCAGAGTGGATGTGAAGAATTTTATTGCAAAAAAGAATTCAAATAAACCTATAGTAATTTTCTGTCAAGTCTTTGCTAGGATATACAAACTACTTGAATCACCACTCAAAGCAGGCACTCATTCTGTTACAGTGTGTTAAATGCCCAGGTCGTACCCAAGCCCTGGGACAGTTGTGACCAAGTCCCATTACCTTTTGGCCAGGACTTAGCTCCGCCTAGCCAAGCCCAAGAGGCATTAGTATTTATGAAATTTAGATGGAAATTGGAGACGTTTCTTAAGAAAAAAGATCAAGATCCTAACAAAGCCCTCTGGCAGTCTTGGGGATAGATGAGAGGAAAAAACAGCAAGACATCTTGCAGAGTTCATCTGAAAAGGCAGATACGATTCTGCGGGTGCCAGAATATCAGAACAACTTGCAGAGTTCATCTGAAAAGGCAGATACGAATCTGCTGTGTCTGTGGGTACCAGAATATCAGAACTAAGAAAAAAGATCAAGATCCTAACAAAGCCCTCTGGCAATCTTGGGGATAGATGAGAGGAAAAAACAGTAAGACATCTTGCAGAGTTCATCTGAAAAGGCAGATACGATTCTGCGGGTGCCAGAATATCAGAACAACAAAAAAAACCCAAATAAACAAAAAAAGACTTTGTTTAAGCTCTGTTACATGTTCAATCTGGAATGCCCAAATAAGCTGCTGCTTTACTTTCACCTTACTATGTATCCAGTATTAAGGATGAATCCCTGGTAATGAGCAGAGAGATGCCTCATGGTCCTCTGAAATGGACCAATGCTGCCTGGAGAGCAATACCAGGCAGCAGTTTACTGGTATTTAGTTGGGAAAACGAGGAGGATGCCCAAATAATTAGTGTGTCCCAGAAGTTTCATAATGCCTTGAAAAAACATACTGTTACAGTTTTTAACAATCATCCCAGAAACAACACTCTTTAGAGATTTTAGAAGGGGAGCTAAAAGGACCTAGACTTGTTGTTTTCAATGTTTGTGAAGGTGCTTAATTGTAGCAATTCAGACTTGCCATGTATCTAGTTAGCTTTTAGAGAATTAATTAAGGACTATGCCAAATTCACGATGTTTCACTGATTTTTTTTTTTTTTAATTATTTTACTTTTTAAAGATGAGCCTAAAACCCTAACTTGCCCCAGAGCCTGTGACAGACAGTTATATCATTTTAGTTGCAGAGGGATCAAGCTGCTGCTCCCCCAGAAGTGTTCTCAGGACCAGGTTCTGAGCACAGTATTCTTCCCATCAAACACAGACATTATATACAAAGGCAACAAGTGAGAGAGAAGTACTTTACATCAAAAGAGGGGGAAGAAAAAAAAAACAAAACATAAAGAGATTCTCTCTAAATTTGTAACTGAAGCTCCTGAGAGGCGAAGAGACCAGCCTGCTGATAAGCAGCAAGTTTACGGAAGTAAAGTGATAGGCAGACTAAGTACTTTGAGCCATTTTTTGATCTGCAAGAGAGACAAACCTCTCTGCATTCAACACTAACCACAGGCGCCTACTTCCCCAGCAACAGCTTGCAGGCCGTTTTCGTTTTGACTGAAGAACATTTAACCAGTTACATTATGAGCACTGCACCTTGCTGCTCTACCAGCAGTGGCTTTTCACACCTACCAAGTTGTTATTTGCCCAGTATTGAGCTGGGGGATCAATGCTCCGTCTGCGGCAGACCGGCTTTATCCTGTTTTTTTTAAAAAAGTATCTAAACTTTTTCAAGTTAAAATTGTTACAAGGTGAAAAAAAAGTCTTCCTTTTGCACCTTAGTAACACCTCTGCCTGTTAACCTAAAGCAAAGGAAAAAACCTTGAAAAATTAAAGTATTGTTTTTTCAAGATTTTTCCTTTGCTTTACATGTTTGGAGTATTAAAGCCCAAAGAAGAAAAGGACACAACAATAGGTCTTGGTCAATTTTAAGGAAACTTCATTAGCTTCAAGAAACATGAATTTCACATAACAGAAACTCCAGAATGGAAAGATTGATTATTTTTGTATTATGAAATCCTACTTCACCAAATGCAATGCTTGTTTAGACCAAAGACTTCCAACATTGTTTGGTTCTTCCCAGTTTTATTTAAGACATCTGTTCACTGACCATCAGCATATTAAATAAACTCTGGAAATCCAGATTTCACTGTGGTTATGGAAATCATACAGAAGTTAACAAACATCAGTTTTCTTTTTCAAAAAAGCATCTTCCTTCACTTTTTTCCTTTTGATCCAGTTGTATTCTGACTGGTAACTTCTCCTTCACTTTTTTCCTTTTGATCCAGTTGTGAGACGGACTTTGTATTCTGACCGGTAACTTCACTTTTTAAAGATGAGTAAAAACTATTAAAAATAACAGCTTTGACTGCTATTTTCAAAAGTGTTAACACTATCCTTACTCAGACTTTCTGACTGGTTCAGTGGACACTTCCACAAACCTCTGAAAAGAAAGCCTGCAGTGCACCAAGGGTTTCTGGTTATCTACTTAGTTTATTTATTAACTTAAAAGTATAAAGTTGCCCTGAGTCTCAAGAGTTCACCCTGCCAGTGGGCGTAACAGCAACACCAAGACTGCTGGAGCCCTAATTTAAATGCTCATCCTGAATATCCACAATTGTAGAAACATCTTAATGCAGTTCAAATTAATCACATTTACACTGAGAACTGAAATATTTTACAAGAAATCTCTTGTATCATTTTTGAATAACTGCCTTCAGTTCCCTTCCTCATTTTACCTGTTGTTGCATTCGAACTTGGCTACCACTGTCTTATAGGCTCACGTGAAATGACATCCCCCTCTGGATACACCTAGAAAACTGGATTTCTACACAAACACTGGTTTCTGGTGTCTGGGGAGTAATATTCAATTAATGAAGGGACTATTTCCTGAAAGCGGGAAGTTTGAATTAAGAACACACACAGACCCAATATTAAAAGTAGTGCTAAGAAGGTCTCCAAGAGTTTCTGGTACAATCTTTCTTGCTCTGACAGCTCTAAAGGTTATGTAGCACTGCTGGAGTGATTTTCAGTTTCAGTAATGAAACCTGGTGCAAGAGTTAATTAAGAACTAAGGAAACAGAAGGTCAAATTTAAAGTATTTCACATCTAAAATTGCAACTTTTTTTTTTTAATAAGCAATGTAATGACAGAAATAACATTACTACAAGGGCTGTTTCAAAGTATACATGGTTTCTGCTCTTGCAGCTGCAGCTCTCCAGCTTCAGTGGAACCTATCTCAAGCTTTCTTTCTCTCAGCACATTCATACAACTGTCTGGTTCACATATGCACCTTGACAGGGTTGACAGTCACTGGGATTTACACCAAAACTAGCCTGAGTGAAAAGCACTATAGAGTTTAAACCCTATAGGATCAACCAAAAAGGGACAGAAAATGTTGCAAACTAATAATGAAACATTTCAGCTATTCATCTATAAACGGCTCAAATGGCATAATGAGATAAAAAATTAGAAGTGAAAGAAATGTAGAAATTACAATCTAGGTGGCAACCATTCAAAACTGAGAAAAAGCAATATACTATAATGAAAGTGTAATTAAATGTAATTAAACTGTACAAATAAATTTCATAAAATCCCATTTTAATGTTGGGGGAGGAAACAATAAGTTTTTATGAACACTATACACCAACAAAATTCAAAATAATAATGGACCTAAGCCACAGCGCTAAGACCTGACCTTCTGGTAGTTTCCTAGAAGATAATCCATGATTCAAAGACTTCACATTCTACACAGAAATACAGTTACATGTAGGGAAAGTGCTCAACCCAAACCCATGCTATGAAGTACCTCGGGAACAGATCCGAGAAGAGAACCCTGGCTCGGTAGTTCACTGTCCAAATCCTACCTGGTAGACCAGGGAGTTCCTATGGAAGCATAAATTACCCATTTAATTAGCATCACAGCCACGTCTCCGCTTTTCAAAATTCTGATTACTTTTAACTGTCACTGAAGTTGTTCAGCACAGTTTAAGACCAGACTTGAAATCCAAACATTGCTAAAAGCCCAAGAACAGTATTTCAGCAACCACATCCTCTGGTTAAAGCATAATAAATTCCAGAGGTAGTTTTCTTGCCTGTAATCCCGTCTTCCCATCCTGTGCACATACAAATTTTCAAAGTCTTCTGAGGCCCTTAGCCCCTGGATGAGAACGATGACCACTGTGGTTAAAGCAAAGAACACAAACCCATTTTCTAGCTTTTGGCCCTCCCACAGATTTCCTGCTGGTTGGCTCTGAGTGTGTGATATCCTTTTTTTCTCTCCCAAAGGAGCTGACCAAATACCATCTTCCACCCACAAAAGATGCCGGCAAAATAAATGAATACTCACAAGACATTTTAGAAATACAGTAGTCCCAAGCTGATAAGACACAAATGATTTGGATTATAACAATGCATTACAGTAAATATCTTTGTTGACACTTAAATCTTTTGTTGGACTTTAATCTCATACTCCCAGAAACTGATACAATCACTGGAGGAGAATGTCTGTTCAGCTGTGGCAGGAAGCACAATGCTGGGCTTTAAATATCCCATAAAATAATAATAAAGTTATTGTGTAACATTATTATATTTTAAAAATAAATATATAATTAAATAAGAATGCATGATACTAAGGACAGCAGAACGTCTCCTTCAACTCCCACTGACAGATGTGGCGGTTAAAGAAACAACACAGCGAATCAGTGCTGTAAATTTGGTTACAGAAGTGGGGAAATCTTCCATTTAACACTGGGGTATTTTTTCAGTAGCAAATGAAATCAGTATCTTTGAGCCATGGCAAGAGAAAACAGTGGATGAAATCATGAAGTTCCTTTCATTCCTTTAACATGGTTGTAACACGACCACTACTTTTGTTGCGTACTGTTCAAGCTGACACACGCATCATTACCATCATTTCCTTATTTCTCAAGTACAACTCACTGCTCAAGCAAACAAACCCTAATATAACGGGGGAAGGGCTTAGAGTGAAGCCAGAGGTATCACTACCAGGGATGTACTCAAGTACAAGTATCTACTACAGCAAATACCTGTTTATTCGTAAATCGCCACCCTCCTCTCCCTACACACAGAGTTTAAATTAGTTTAATGAACAGAAATCTGAAGAGAAAACTTTTGCTGCTCATTTTAAACAACTAAACCCACAGGTCTTGACAACAGCTCTGCAATAGGGGCTTCTCCAGGAGTATTTGTTCAATGATTTTCTCCTCCTCTTCCCCTCTGCCTCCCCACCACTCGTTCCTCTCCTGTCACCACACACCACCATTCTTTGTTACGTGCATGTTGTTGTTTCTAGGCCCACACACAGTCAGATCAACCCAAAAATAACCATTTGTGTCTCCTAGTTTTTGTTTCTCTTTGCCTAAGAGGCAGATGGGGTGAGTGATCGTGGGCAGTGCAGCCGACAGAGCTGAGAAGGGCCAGCTGCTGAGCAGAAGGCAAGAAGGTGCTCCTTAACCTGAAAATGGTGCTGCAGCCATCGCGGGGAGGAACTGTGCTCCCACACGTGCCCTGAGCCGAGGAACAGCCCAGAGAGATGCTGGGCAAGAGCCAGCAACAGACAAGATCAACTTCCCAAGAAGTCTGCTAAGCAAGTAGTCAGGGTGGTCTGTAATTCTCTATTTTAACACCTGACAAAAGCTATAAAGAGTTTAGTTATACCCAGTCCATAATCTCCAGGAAATATTCAAGACTTTAAAGAACAGGGAGCGATAAATATATGCAAGCAGGGAAGACTCACCCCGGTCAGACTGGCTTACTCCACCTCTGAAAACTGGAGCTGTGAATGAGGAGATCCAAGATGCTTTCCCAGACTAGGGAGGAGAGTCATAATTGCATCATTTTTCTAGATGAGCAGTGTCAACGCTTTAGGCTCTGAGTCAGTCCTGAGCCAGCCAATGCCCTGCGGTGGTCTCTGGGGCACTGCACTATTAGAAGTGATGACTTTCACAACTGGCTGCCGAGCAGGATCCAAGCCGACTTACACTTATTATAAAAAAAAAAAAAAAAAAAAAAAAAAAACTTGAAAATTTTGGTACACAAAATATAACTGTTTCATAATAGTTAGTGTAAATTCAATTTTT